GACGATTGTTCTGTTGCGCAACACTGCGTCCTGTATAGCATAAAATGGATTGTCCTCCCACCAGCACAAGCTGTGTCGAAAAGAATTTCAGATTTAGTGAGATCAAGCAAGCGCTGTTCATCCAGATCAGCAGATATTTGAACTTGAACATTGTCATAAATCGAAACAATATCTGGACATAAGCTATTAATAACAGTGGCAATATTAGTTTCTGGCCTATCGTTGTGCCTTGTCAGTTGGCCAAACGTGAGGCTCGAAATAGTGAAAAAAACCGAAAACAGGTACTCTGTGTAATAAAATGTATTCACGGAGCAATCCCTTTAAAAAGTATGAAGACCATACATTCTTCTAAGGCTAATACTGGACGGTGGCCTAAAATTTTTGAATCTGCCATTCTCTTGGCCTTGTTCTAGCTCGAAGTTCTTCGAAGGGCAAAACATATCGATCCCTATCCCTTCCGTTGCCATAGAATACTTAGCTATTTGTTTTGGGGTTCCTATGATCTTATTGATCATTGCAACAGCTAAAAAGTACATACTTCCTCTGTCACGCTACTCCGTACTCTGACCATTGTCCACTCTCTACCATACATATTCCAAAGCTCAAATATTGTCGTTTTTTATTATTTGTTGAAATCATCACCTTGAGCGCTTTACACAAGCAAAACGTGTCTGGTTTGTGTTGTCCGATGTATCCGTAGCGTTCAACACCTTTGCTGTAAGTCACTGATTACTGCATCATAAAATATTATTCTTCTCAGAAAGCAGATCTGTCTCCACCATGTTCTTCCTCCCTGGCAATCAGGAAACTGCCAGTTGCGAGTCGCTAAGAACTATATTTCATGACACAGCAACATCGACTCCAATTATATTTGGTTTCGAGCCCAAGGTTTGACGAAGAAACGTGAAAATCTGTTAAAAAAGTAATACGGAGATATTAGTACTGGAAAAACGCTAGATGTTTCAAGCAGGACGGACTGTGCAGTGAAGAAATGGTGAAATAAGAAGACGCAAAGCTGTGAACGCTGAAAAAAGGAAAGTCGGGTCTTGGCTATCAGTCTTGAAGAAAGGAAACGACAACGGACAGGACCGGCAGACGGCAAACAAACCTCAGCACTGTCCGATTGATATTCAACGGGTTGAGAGCGTCTAAGTAGAAAACTTGGGTTTAAATAGAGGGACAGGTTGTAGCGACAAATCGTACGAGACAGACAAGCGTTAGCCACAAAATCAGGTGGTGATAATTGTCAATAACAAAAAAAAAGATGGAGGTAGGATCAGGGAAGTGAGGCACATCACCTCGTGTATCTTAGCCGGCTGGTAGAACCATGGCATGTTTCGGAATTCCTCTAGTAGTGCATCACCTATCTGTCCACAACATGAGGAGCTGCTCTTCCTTAAGCTCCTATCTTGTATCAGATAAACTCTGATAATTTACAGAGGTGATTATCACTGTCTTGCCTACTTTCTAAGGTTTTAGCTTAAATTGCTGCTGCTACAGTTCACACAATGTCTTCATAACCGGCTGCATAATTAATAGATGCGTTAACTCGCGAAATGATATTCACTCGAGCGATGATTCTCAAGACATATGAAGGATATTAAGTTGTGCTTAATGTACGATGCTATCGTCCAAGCTTCGCCCTTGCCCTTAGTTTACTTCTCAGTTTCGATCCTAAGATCAACTTTGAAGTTATTAGTTCTCTGAACAGTGGTAGTTCTTGTATATGAAGTGATCGAAATAATGTGGTTATTTTAAATTTATGGTAAATATCTGTTTGAAATTCCATTGATGTATAAACACAATTTTAAAGCAGTGAGCAGCGTCGATATCAGACCGGTTCATGACACTTATGGTTTAAAGATTTGCCCTTGAAAATAGTCTCCTTCATCATGTGAAGATTTCAGAAAGAAAAATATCCACAGAGATACACCGTATGCATGCAAATTAATCGTGACTACCCCAGCTGTTGTAGCTCCAGTTTAACTCAAGAAACATTTTTGCTTACCTTATGGATGCCATCCTCTTCGTATTCATCTTACTTACGTGTAGAAAAGCTTATTCAAGCACTCTTCAACAAACAGAATTATTCGCCTCAGTCCAAAGAGTGATTTCGTTATCCAAGTGAATCTGCGGACCTCGTTTTTCGACCATGCAACCAATAATCGCAATTGTCTCTCAACGTTAGTATTCGGGTGATAAAATATTTGTCTGAAATTCCTCGAAGGGAAAAACCTTCCTCGCAACGATGTTATCAGCCCGGAAGCTATAACAATCCGAAGCGTCTGCTGATACGCACACTCAGCATCGGAAATGACGTTCGAAAATACGAGTATACGGAAGGAAATGCTTGGAAGGCGGTTGGCTCAAGACTCATTCTTACTCGTCAGTGGTGAGTGCGGCTTTTGGCACATTTACTATATTGCAGCATTGCTATTGGTTTCGAATCTGTGAATCATGTGCTTCGCCTTGCAGGCATAGCCGCAGGCGTCTGACTATTTTCCGTACATAGCGATATTTGTTTGCACCGACCTCGTAAGAATCAGAGTTGCATTTTCCGACGATATTCAGACACTTGCCTCGCAAGCACATGTCATCATGTCATATCATCGGGATAGAAAAAGAAGAAATTAAAATTTTATGCATGACATCGTTCCCAAACGCAAATTTGGCTTAAAGGAATGAGAATTTATACAACCAATTTGCTAGCATCACCTGCTAACAACCATTCGAAAGTTTTTGATGCGCTTTAATGGTTATTTACCCGGTGCACAGAACATATTTATCGTGCTTTGTCTTTTAAGTGACCTCGTTTTGGTCATTAATCGTTTTCTTCTGGATGGAGGCGACAACGATTAGATATATTGTCTGCGAAATGTTCAGTTTATTTCATTTTGTGGCCTACTGTCATCAAGATTCATCACCTACTTCGATTGTTTGCTGTTCGTCCATTCATTTGTTCATTTATTGATTCGTTCGTCATTACATTCATTCTGTGAATTACTCATTCCATCAATCATTCACTCATTCGTTCGTTCGTTCAATCATTCATTATGTCAAACTTCAATTATCCATTAATTCGTCACTTCCACTTCTGGACCTTGCTCGCTGGTGAATAGGTTTTTTGCGCTTTAAGCTCTTTTCTTAAGGTTTTCAATTGATAAATGCTACGGAGGTGTTTCTCATCTTCACGACAGAGATTTTAATTACACAGCGACAGTTAACTGATCCTTCTTTGCAATTAAAGCAAATCACAACTACCCAGTCTCGATGTCCGTCTCGTGCCACATGTGTTCACAAGTTCCACGTCTTTTTTCGTTCATCATCCCGTCTGAGTCGAGGCGCCTTCAAATTGAGCGCTTGCGGTCCCTCGGGTACAAACAAGCCGTCACCGTTGAAACGCATCCGATCGTCTTGCGACGTGACCTGGCCGTTGTTGTTTTCTTTCTTGTTCTGTTAATATGAGGTCCTGACTTGCCGTGCTTCTTCGTATTTCTTTCCACAGCAATCATAACAGTTCATAATCATTTTTCGTCAATGTCCAATGCTTGCAATCATATACGGCTGTTGGTAATACCATGCCATCATACAATATTGTTCTATCCACAATCGGAAACGATTAGCTGTCTCAAATAGACATAATTAGAGGCCTCTTCTGTTTGATAATCACCGATGGTCACTTTACCTGTTTGAATTCGTTTCTCATCATCTTCGTCTTCGCCCTGCTCATCCGAAGTTTCACTTGGTTGTTCTATAATTCTAGCTCGTATGTCATGACCTCAGTTTTTTTGCCTTCGACTGCTCTACCATGGTGTCATCAGCAAACTGATTATGCATGAGCCTTCAACCTTTGAATGATAATCCTCCATTCCATTTCACTCTGCGGAATACTCGCTCAATATTTGCGGTATGCAGTTTCAGTCATATACTGCCCACTGGCGAACACCAATGGAAACAAGGAAACATTGGTTTCAGCTGATGTTCAAACAGGCGAATCTGTTTGTTGCAGTTGGATCATACTTCTTGAAAAGGTGGACGAAACCATTGTGACAGTTCTAAACAATATTTCACTATCTAGACACAATTTTTAGGGAACGTTAAACCAGTCATCCCCGGGGACAGCTTATCATTGTATAACTGATTTTCAGGCGACGATATCGACTACTATGAAAACACCTATAGTACTGGCCCGGGACATGCAAGTCCCTGCAGCGGTTTCCACGGAGTTGAGATCGATGGCACCCTCAATCTACATTTTTTCAAGATAGTGCCACCCGTACGAAAAACTGCCATTGGATAAGATATCTCTTATATGGCGAGAGGTCAGTTGCATTGCATCGAATCGTTGAAGATTTTCCACCCCTGTGAGTCTTGATCATGTGAAAAGACCGTCAAGTTAAAATTAAAAACAATTTCTAAACCAGATGTTTAAAATCGCCTCTTTAAAACTCAAATTAAACAATTTACTTAAAAACGAACCGGCTCTTCTGCAGCTGACTTAAAGTTTCAAGTGTTTCGGTTTAAAGATGAAAAGCATTACTATACGCAAATCTCGGTCGTCATAATTTGCTCTGCTAAAACCATGTTGTCAAAGAGTGGCTGTTGTTGCCGAGATGAGTGACGATGAGTTCGGTTAGCTCGTGTCTTTCGTGGTACGACAAAGGGTCAGATCAACCTCTCGATCCGAACGAGTTCGTAGCGCAATCGGCGCGAGAGTGTGCTCTGCTTGACCACCGACCTCCTCAGCCTCTCTACTTGCTTCCTTATTACCATGGTACGCTAACCGTCGAGGACGCTGAGGACCGACTTCACTTACGCGGCCAATTCCTACTGTTCCAAACCATGGAACTTCAGCTGCAAATTATGGTTTTGGGGGAAAACGATCAGAGCTATTCGCTGCCGATCCACCAAGACCCGGATAGCACTTCCTTCTGGATTCAACCCGAAGATATGGAGCTGCAATTCACGGCCGTAGAGAAGCTCATTACCTACTACATAACCTACAAAATACCGATTAAGGTAAAGCTTCATATTAGGATATTTTGCATTGGTAAGCGACCAAGACTCTATCCCTAAGATCGTCGTTCTTCGTTGCATGATACTGAATTTCTATACTCCTTGATCAGTGGTTAATATGGATATTGGCTTATAATTCTTCCCGCTGAATTGTAATCAGCTAGTTCTTCTCCCAGACAAAAAGAGGTTCGTCAGATCCAGTATTCAGGGTGACAAAAGCTGCATCACCAGCACATTGGTGATTCTCAGCATCTTTTGGACAGCTGTATATCGAAAAGCGGTACATTCTCCTTCTTCTTTTACCCTCGTCATTTTCCGTTCTTTGAATCTGCAAGATGAGTAGCACTCCGATGATGATCTTCAGGATAAGATACTTACAGATATTACACCTGACAACCGATCCAACCCGGAATGCTTCTCAAATATAATAAGCCTGTAACTTCTACTACCATGCTTTGGAAGGTGTTTAGTTCGTTAATTGTATCTTGTAAACGTTTTCGTTAAGCCGAAGAGTGAATACTCTTCAACGTTCTTACTAATTCAGTCCAATATTGAAATGACTGGACGTTCTTAGATCATGATCACTAGTTTGCACACCTACCGGCTGATAGGATTATTCTGATTCCTTATCATTCGCCAATGCACATGAATTTACATAAATATACATAATTCAGAAGTTCGGAATACGCTCTTTGTATGAGACTAACATAGAAACTATATGATGAATATCATATTTCAACTATTGGGTCGTCAGAAACTTTTCCGGCGTTTTGAACCGTTCACTTTAAATAAGCATAACTCCGTTGAAGCTTAACCTTTTTATTCAAAATTAGCACCCTTATGATCGAACCCACATTTGCGCAACGTGTCACTTGCGCATTTATTCTACTCGCATAAAAATTCCCATCTTCGTGATCAATAAACTACGGGAAGTTGTTTTCAAAGTCCTCTTGTTCTCGAAAGGCTTACTCCTTGAAGGCGTTGTCTAGAGAGCGCAACAAGAGAGAGTCTGTTATCAAGATATTTCGAGAACCTGGTATAAGCTCGAGCAAGTTTTGCGTAGTTATTCTTGCAACTGGACCTCTTCTGCTGACCAGCGTTGACCAAGACACCCAGTCCTTCTGCGGGACAACGCCAGGTCGCATGTCGCAAGAATAACTACGCAAAACTTGCTCGAGCTTATACGACGTTCTCGAAATATCTTGATAACAGAATATCATTTCTACCTCTCACTAGACAACGCCTTCAAAGAGTAAGCTTTTTGAGAACAAGAGGAGGAACAACTTGAAAACAACTTCTAGTAGTTTGTTGATCACGAAGACAGGAATTTTTATGCTAGAAAAATAAACGCGCGAGTTACATGCTGGGCAAAGATATGTTTCATCATAACGATGTTTATTTTGAATAAATATGTTTAGTTTCAGCAAATATGAGTATGAGCTATGCTGATTTAAAATGAACGGTTCAAAACGGTGGAAACTCTCCCAATGACCCAACACAACAGCTTCTTGCTCATGAGTACTTAGAGATTAGGGTCACAAACCTCATGGATCTCAAAAATATATAAAGGCAACATGAAGCTGTTGAGTGCGTCATTATTACCTTAAAACACGACATCATGATTTCGTAACCTTGCTATAGAAAAAAATAATTTAATCTAGATGCCAGGTTCAAAATGTGAGCTTCAGTGTGCTCGTTGAAAACAAGGTCGCATGATCTGATCACACGGTTTACGCCATCAACAAAGTGAGGAAAAGTAACTTCTGTCTTCGCCGTTTACGATTAGTGTGAGGTCTCTTGATATGCGCCGAGGATTTGAAATGTGCCTCATAATGCCGAATATCATTTATGCTTCTCCACTTTGTTCCGGAGCTTTACCGAATATAATTTTGCGTTCTTGGACAATATTTCGGGGCCACTGGGAAATCGGGAAGATTTCAATACGATCCCATGAAAAATCCGCTACGTAGACTGTTTTTGATTGTTTCATTTCCTTCTCTAAACGGATACTGCAAGAAACCACCGATACGCTTCACACAGATCGAACAGCCTGCTACTCTTGAGGAAACTCAATCATGCCAAAAACAAAAACTACAGATAATCAGTAGTACCAAGCTTAATTCGCACCCTCATAAATTCCCGTGGTGTAAAATGTCGTCTCTTGTGTTTCACGGGTATAGCATAATAACTGTCTTTCTGCTGTATGCTGTACATACGCGGGTGCTGAAAGCAGGAAGAAGCATATTGCTGTATAGCATTGTTAATTACAGAAATACTGGAGATTCTGCCATGCCTCAAATAGTGCATATGAAAGTAGAAGCATCAGAATTGATGTAAGATTACACTGTCGTGACTATGCAACTCCGACGTTACAGGCGCTTGTTGTTGGTCTACCGGAAGAACCACAAATTTGAGGGCGATTTTTGAAACAAAGTGGCACTCAGCGTTCCTCATCGCTTGCGCATTGAAACGAAATGATCGGTACTCTGTGTATTTCATTAAATAGAACAGGACTGTTACAAGGATAAAGAACTCAAGAAACTACCAAAACCAAATGCCACTAGATTTTCAAAATATGTTCCTCGAACGATATAGAAGATATATTATGCTGAGAAAAAAATTACCTTAAAAAATTGCGAACACCTATGTCGGGAAATGTGTCCTTTGACATTGGGTTTACAATGACTGGACGAGAGGGTAACTGAAACTGTCTTGTCAACCATGTGCCTCGGAAAACAAACAGCAGAGTTATAGTTTCAACAAATGTCCTGAAGTTTCCAACGGTATTTCAGCGCTTCGCTTTGAAGTAGGACGAGTTAAATCCGAAATGAGTCGGAAGCCCCAGTAAACAGTAAACACTGCGCATTCGGTCTTCCCTTTGTTCTTTGCAAAGAGGATTAACGCTTAGCTCTGATTTGGCTTGTCTACTGAACCGGAAGAGATGATCAGCTTTGCTGTCATAATACGATTTGAATCAACAGGACCGACGTGGCATTTGAAGTTCAGGGCTGAGCTGCTGGGATGCTCTTACAGCACAAATATCAAATACTACTTGGTGTTCAAAATACGTTCATTGCGATCATCTGTTCGTCTGACGTCACGAAACCAGTAACGAAGATGATTTAAACAAATACATGAATCCAAACAAATGTAGGAAGCATCAGAGCCGTAGATTCTGATGCACTTCAATAAGCTGTCCTTAACATTCTTCGTTCACTTCTTTTCTTTCTCGTTTCTCTTCTTCTTCTTCCACCTAGAATGCCCAGTGCTTGGATGGCAGATGAGTTTTAATAAACCAAATCTTTATACGCCCGATGTTTCGGCCTGTTTCTAGCATATCTTTCAGCAACTGATTAAATAAACGATTTTTTGATAAACACCTTCGTTTTGTCGTCGCCGGATATGTCAAAAAGCTGATTCCTCAAAATACCTTGGAGGAATCTGGTGAGTGACAAATCGAAACGTCGGTTGTGTACAAAATATTTATTCGTGGCGAGTTGTGTTCATCCCGAAACGGCAATATTTTAAGCTGAAAACCTTTTGTGAACGAAAATTAGTTTATCCATAATTCAATGACGCTTTTATGAGGGCTTTCAAATGGTTTTGATAAATGGCTGTTTCCCATAGTAAAAATGTGACCGCAAAGCAGGGAGGGAAATATCTTGCCGGCCTTAAAGTCGTACTGCTCACAGAACAAGTTTCTTACACGGCATATTTCCTTCTTCAATTTCACCGAATATCTAAAATCTCTCACTTAAGTCCATTGAAGTGGCAGAAAGCGAAAGCGATACTCCCTCTTGCAGACCATACCACTGGAATATCGTCTTTTGGAAGTAATAAACTCCAGATAGCCGAGGAAGCTTTTGTATAAAGCCGCCTCTTTCCCCGACAGAGTAGTCACCGCATACAATGGCTGTCGTGTTTTGCGAATGCCGCCAGAAAGAAAGACATAACAGTTATTATTTGCTCAACCGACCGAATGAAGACCCAGGGGGATGACCAAGAACTACCTGCTCTATCCAGACTGGTTATTTTCTGCTACAGATCAGACGTTAGCACAGGATCGGGGTCGTGAATTGGAGACACAGTTTTGACAATGCTACTCCCGCAATCCTAGAGGATAAACGGTCATCGAAACTAACTGACCTGCCTAGAATCCATAGCGACAGATGAAAATTAACCGTGGTTATAAAACACCGTTTCATCCAGCTAGAGGGCTATACAGGATTAACACAGTCTTCAGTAGATCAAGCATAAACTGAAATATTCAACTGGATTTGGCTGCCAGTTGCCTCATGGAAACTGAACTTTAGGCACGTGTAGAAAAGACCTGACTACGCGATGCATTCTCTCTCTTTCTTGAACATCACTCGCTATCTTCTGTTTTGCCATTCAACATTAGTTAAACGTTTTACTCAAGGCGTTTAAAAGAATCGGAAAGCGGCCTGTAGACCAGAATG